TTCAGGGTATCTCCTAGTCGAGCAGTCTCGACTAGAGTCTTCTTACTTGTTTTAAATCTAATTTGACTCTCGCTTTTGTCAATAGATTTAAGAAATAAATAAATAAATAAATATTAGTTGGTGAGCTAGAATGCGGAAATCTGGAATGTAGATCCGCGTCGACCATCCAAGATCACGAGCTATGGCGGATTTATCTACGCCCATTGGAGTCGTGGCAAATCGGATATAACTGTATCTCCTAGAGTTTTAAAGCTAGACCGGTAAAATTTTGCCCATGAGCTACGAATTGAAAATGGGTTCAGGGTATATAAAGCGATTTATTTACTCAATAAGTTAGATATTCGTATGCTATAAGTGAATCAAATAATATTGTTTTGTACTGCTTTGTATATGGACCTGTTTCGTATAGAAGGGTTTCATCGCTTTATATGTGTATCGGACAGTTTCTTTATAATATAATATGTATTTTACATTTTTCGCCTTGACACTAACTTATTACGTCGGTTTTTAGAAAATGCATGTCTATAAAAAGGCACTGCAGGCGCTCATATATCCAATATCTTCTACGACTCCACATAATTTTGTACTTTGGACGGCTACCTCGCCGACTTACTGCTATGAGTGCGAGGGATTGCTGTGGGGCATCGCAAGGCAGGGAGTGCGGTGCACAGAGTGCGGGGTCAAATGTCACGAGAAGTGTAAAGACTTATTAAATGCCGACTGTCTACAGCGTAAGTCGAGTTTTTTATTTTACTTTTTTTATGTCCCAGTTTGCATTAGCGATGTGTACTTGCATATAATGTTCACGATTGTATTTGTAGGTGCCGCTGAGAAGAGCTCCAAGCATGGTGCCGAGGATAAAGCCAATTCAATAATTACAGCAATGAAGGATCGAATGAAACAACGCGAGCGGGAAAAACCGGAAATATTTGAGTTGATCAGGTAACGCTTTGAAATAGACCCAATTTGTGGCTGGTGCGGATATTCATACTCATCTGTATGTGATGAATGAGAAAGCTCAAGTTCTCTGCTAATCAATTGTTATTGTATGTCTACCGGTTATCTAATAATGGGAAAATGTCTTGACTTATATACATAGCTAGTGATCGTTGAATAAAAGGCAGTTCAAATCGACTTATTTCTATCATTTTCGATTCCCAACAAAATCCTTTGTTAAAAAAGTGAATCTTTAGTTATATAAGAAAACTCCCAATTAAAGGAATTCTTTTCCAATAATTGAGTCTCTAACAATAATGTGTGATGCTTAGCAAGACGAGGTTTCTTCAACTATCAACTATCTCCTAATATATATTGGCCATACTCCATTCAGTAATTGAATGATGTCCAATTATAGCCTAATTCGATTTCTGTCATAGCTAATGTTCGAGAAATATACATATACACAGAAAAATATATACAGTGTCTCAAATATAAGGAAAATATAATATATAATATAAAAAGCTTTATGACATGCCATGATAATGCCCATCACGCACTCTACTACATACCCATCCATATATAACCTATTTAGAGCCGTGTTCAGCATTGAGGAGAAGAGCCATACGGGCCATATGAAGGCTGTGAAACAGAGCGTCCTCGATGGAACCAGTAAATGGTCGGCAAAGATCGCAATTACAGGTTTGACTCCACATCAATGTGAAAATGTGATTTATCAAAAACATTTGCATTATTCCTTACTAATTGTGTATATGTATTATGTTATATGTAATAATATATAATATAATATATTATATTATATATATATATATTTTTTTTTTTTAATATATTTTTTTTAATGCTATGTGAGCATGTATGTATGTACGAATGCTTGGGAGGTTCTTCATATACACATATACATAAGAAAAGATCAAGATATTGCATACGCTACAGTTGGACAAATTTACTTACATGTCAATTCGCTTAGTATCTTTGTGTGTGTAAGTGTAAAGTATGTTGTTTATACTCTATAATGTGTATAAAATAATATCTGACACAGGCGAGTTGAGAGCAAAGAGTGACCCCCGCATAAGAGATAATTTGAATTACTTATACTAAGTGCTTGTTGAGCCGATAAATGAGTCGAATTGAAATTAAGAATTTCACATAAATATGTACTTTATTCACATGAAACTAATTATGGGTAGATTTTTCAGCGCACCAGCCCAGCCAAAACAAAAAATAAAATAATTAATGAATAAAATAAAAAACAAAAATAATATACAATATATACAACGATACTCTAAACTTTAGTGTTAAGTAATTAAATGGTTGCAGTTTCTAGTCATATATATATCTGCAAAAATCTATTTCAACTCAAACTTCAAATTGCAATTCCAATTTAAGGATGACATTCGGTGTGGATCCAGATACACACATAGATTCATTAGAACAGGCTGAGCACGCAACTGTTGAGGGAACATCTAAATGGTCATGCAAACTAACAATTACAGGTACACGGGCAATATCGATATGGTTTTTGCGACTATGTCTTATGACTTATAAACCCATCCCTTTATATATATATATATATATATATATATATTATTTATTTATTATTTATTTATTTATAGTATCGAAGCTTGCACAGATTAAACACAGGTCAAGGCAAAGTTTTCTGTTCACCTGATTTGGAACATACTCTAGTTACACTAAATTTTTGATTTTATGAAGTGCAAAAATTAATCTGTGGGGGTACAGAGTAGAATAGAGTCGAGTGTCATCGACTAGACTTATATTAATATATTTCTTTTAGTGGCTTCATAACCCATTAGTGATCCACTTTAATGACACAATTATGTTAAATATTAACCACGGCCATTTTCAAACACCAAAATTATTGTGTGTGTATCGAAATAGCTTTTGCAATTCATTTTATGTCAAATGAAATCAATTCATTAAAAAAATCTAACTCCCAAAAAATCGCTTTATCATTGACGGAAATAAAATGATTCTTCTCTTTCTGCAATCATTTGATCTCCCATCCGTAGTTTAATCAAAATTTCTTTCTCTCTCACTTTCTGTCCTCTCTCTATCTTTTTTTTTTTTTTCCTCTCTTACTATTAAATTTGTTTATGTTTCTGTTAAGATGTGTGTATAATATGTAATAATATACGATTACTCATTTATATATTAATAATATGAAAGAAAAAAGAGACCAACTAAAATTTGCAACGCACTAAGTTTGTACAAGAAGCAAAACTTACATTTTGCTGTTCATTCTAAGTCTGTTGGTCTGGCTGTGCGTCCGTGAAAATGATTATATTTTAAATTTTGAAAAAGATAATTGAATTAGGGTCGTGAGCCCGTAGTCAGCTGTCTGCAGATCTCTAATAAGTTTTCATTCGTTTTTTAAATTGTTTTATATAGAATTCGTTTTCCTAAACACACAGTCGATATTGCACACTTAATACTTAAAACTCTAACCTAAATATGAGATAAGAAAGTAACAATCCGCATTATTGACAAACATTTACCATCGATATGCAAATGGTTTTTATGCATTCCTTTCAGATGTTTCATTCATGGTTACGATTTGTATATATATATTCAAAATAATTAACATGTGTGAGCTCGTTATTTACCTCGAAGTCTGTATTTCAGACTTCCATATATGAATTATTTCATAACTGTTTATTAAAATAAATTTATACATTTTGCTTAGTCATCTAGAGTCAACTGAACATACTCTGCCTCCCTCTAGTAAGCTACAGAGAAGACCTTAAATGAAAGGGCTTAAAGTAGCAAAATATTTAGTGCGACATCGATTCGTCCCTCTGTAGAGCTCCCACTTGTTGAATTAAATAAAAAATGTTAATTTAACTATGTACATAATTGTTTTTGCATATAAATATTGATATTAAATTAAAAAAAAAAAATTAAAGTTTGCATGCCCAGTCAGTTCAATATTTGTTATGTGTGCCCTTTATTTTATCTATGGCTTTGTGGAGAAGAAATGTTTAGCTCTACTCTATATAAGCATCCTGTCATTCTTAATTATATTTATGTTTATATATCTGATTTCCACTAATATTTTAAAATTAAATACCAACTCAAATGTTTCCCCCCTGAGTCTCTCTTTCAATCTATCTTTCTATCTCAAGCACACATTCTCTCTCTTATCAATACCATTATCAAATAAATGTATGAAAATGTATGTAATTTTGCGCCGGATATGCTTTAGTCTAAAGATTATTTTCCAACCATTTGATCATACAAATGGATGAGTCTCAATTCTACATGAACTTGGGTAATATTATATGGTTCTTTGCATCGAGGAGCTTTAATTTGAACTAGGGCAAATAGAAGATACATACACATGTACATACGTATATGCTTTTGCATTTCGGTTTCGTGAATAAGTCCTCATATATATACAGTCGACTCTCGTAATTCGAAATTCAAGGGACTCTTAAAATACTACGAATTGTGGAATGTTTGAAATAAAGAAATGGTTCGAAACTTTTGAGAGAAAGTAAGTAAAAATTCGAATTATCAAGGGATTTTATTTAACTGTTGATATCTTACATATTCCTCTTGTACATACATATGTTAAAATTAATAAATTTTTTAAAAGAACTCAGTTATATGGGATTGCTTTGAAGCCGCTCAGACTTTTAAATATTTTTTAAAGAAGCAACCCAGTTTCATCATTATACCCTGAACCATTGTAAGTGTCTTTCACTTACACAAAAAAAAAGACTCAGGCAGAAACTGCTTTGTCGCGTCTGCCTGAGATCCCTCGCGCTCCGAGCGAGTCAGTTATTTCTGTTTTCGTTTCGCTCAAGTCAAAAACTGATCGTTTGCTTGAGTTAAATGAAGCAAATTGTCTTTTGCGTATATATGGGTAATCACACGTGATGGTTGTGTTCTTTTTGCATTTATATGAATGTATGCATGTATTTATTTACATGTACACGAAGGCAAAGATCATTTCTGTTAAGTTTTTTAGTCAAACTGTATTTTGCTGAGATCGTGTCTACACCATCTTTTCGGTTATGTTGAGAAGCAGAGCATACATATAAGAAACAAGAAAGAAAGCTCTAGTCGAGACTGCTCGACTACGAGATCCCCTGAA